GTACGACAATGAACATCATTGTTCAGTTAGAATATTCTCATTTAGTTTTCGGTTTTACTAGTAGAAAGGTACCACGTCAACAATCTCTAAAATGAGAACAGTAAGTGCAAATAATTGGTGAGATGGTAGTAAATCCTGAACAGTCTACTTATTCCGCCGCGAATGGTACACCAATTAACTGAAGATGACCCTGATCAAAGAACAAAATTCTGCGAAATCATGACAGAAACCATTGCAAGGCATCCTACCTATCTCCACAATATTTGCTTTAGTGACGAATGTACATTTTTTAAACGGCAATGTTCGCAGACGAAATTGCCGTTATTGTAATGACACCAACCCTAACGTTTTCCGGGAAACACATACCCAATATCCAGGAAAAAATTAACGTTTGGGCAGGAATATTGGGAAACCATATTATAGGACCTCTATTTATTGATCAAAATTTAACAGGGGAACTGTATTTGAATATGCTAGAAACTACTGTTGACCCTCTCATCATTGAAATCGTCAAAGCGAATCCTAATGAATTCGATATGGATATTGTATTCCAACAAGATGGAGCACCACCACATTACTCCAGACAAGTAAGAAATCATTTGGGTACTACTTTTCCCGGTCATTGTATTGGCCGTCGAGGTCATACAGAATGGCCAGCCCGCTCGCCAGATTTGAGAATGGCCAGCCCGCTCGCCAGATTTGACACCTTTGGACTTTTTTATGGAGCTATTTGAAGCAAAAGTTGTAACTGAACCTTCTTCAACATTGGATATACGACAGAGAATAATAAATATTTGTAGAGATATTGACGTTACTGTGTTCGAAAATGTTCGGCATGAAATATCGAGCATCTTCTGAACTGACCTCAAGTGTATTACCTCATATTATGTAGTTAAATGTCAATATATTCAGGCAATTATTAAAAGTTCCGCCATTTTGTAGTAGATCAAGATATTGACATTATATTCTAGGGTTGTGAAGCATTTGTCAGGAAGAGTTTGTTTTCAAATATTCAGAAATTCTTATTTTTGCCTATGATCTCAAACTTTATCGAGCAATTACTTGCTGAATTATTTCAAAAAGATCTCGAAGCTTTTTCCATGTGGTGTAGAAATAATTTGTTAGAGGTAAACATCGATAAGTGTCAAATCATTACGTTCGCTAAAATTAGAAGTCCAATATTCATTGAATATACATTAAATAATATAGCTCTTAAAAGAGAAATATTTATTCGTGATCTGGGAGTTAAATTTGATAGCGAAATTAATTTTAATCTTCAATTATCAGAAATTGTAGCAAAAAGTCTCAAAATGCTAGGTTATTATTATTATTATTCAATTAAAACAAAAAAGATTTTATATTGTACTTTCGTAAGATCCATTCTTGAATATTGTTCGGTTATTTGGGACCCATACTATATTGTAAATATCGATTTGATGAGAATGTTCAAAAGAAATTCTTAAGGAATTGTGCTTTTCACTTTAGTATTCAACGAAAAGAATATGAGTACAGTCAACTTTTAACCAAGTTAAATATAAAATCAATGGAAGATAGGAGAATTTCTATGAACTTGAGTTTCCTCTTCAAATTAATAAATAGTGAGATAAACTGCCCAGAACTACTTCAACTAATAAATTTTCATATCAAACAAAAAAATACAAGAAATCATGACATTTTTCATATACATTTTTTCCATACCAATTATGCTTTGAACAGTCCGATTCCTCATATTCTGAAGCTGGGAAATCAATATAATAACTGAGATCTGTTTAATGTATCACTTCAGGTCTTTAAAAATCAATGGAAAAGGCTATAGCGTTTTCGAAGCTTTTCTTTACCTCACCATTTTCTTTGTAAGTACCAGATTTCTTACATCTTCTTCCTTGTAAGCACCAGAATTGTTTCATCTTTTAGTAATGTAGTCACTAGACATAAGGATTCATTAATATTTTGTATTTCACACTTCACTAAATGTTTTGTAAAATTGTATATGTAATGTAGACACCAGACATGAGCATTCAAAAATACTTTGCAGTTTTTCACACCTTGTTAAATATGTTTTTGTAAACTGGCTTTGCCGTTGAATGAATAAATAAATAAATACTGTAGGGCTCTAGATTACATAAGAATTTTCTTATAGATTTCAGAAATCTTAGCAACGACAATATCTTTTATGGTTTTCGGAAGATTATTATAAAATTTCATTCCAGTATGACCAGTGTGAAGGTGGCCATGTGTTTGGTGAAAGAGAGGCGAGCGCGCTATTCCGCCATAGGTCGTTTCACCGCAATTATTCACATGGCTAGCCATGGAAATTTTTACATTGATAGACTCATTGCTGGAAACGAACTGATGTGATTGGAAATGATTCAAATGATGAAAATCCTTTTTTTTATGAAATGAACCGCATTTTATTGAAATTGTACAAACAACTGATAATAATAGAAGCAGAAAAATAATTCCAAAAGGAAATTTGTTGCTAGGAATATTTTTTCTGTTAATTAATTGAATACAGCCCCGACTACCCTTAATTCAATTTTCATTAGAAAAATCATAAGTCTTTGCAAAAACACATTGCTGGGAGTATTTTTTCATGAAACCATCGAATTTAGCAAGCTTATTAACCCCAGAGGGGTCACTGATTTTGTCTCACTAAAATACACCCCCTTCTACCCTCAATTCAATTTTCATTAGAAAAAATTCATAACTCCTTGCAGAAACACATTGCTGGGAATATTTTTTTCATGAAACCATCGAATTTGGCATGCTNAGCCGAGTAATGTTGTTGTTACTGTGAAGTTATATTAAAGAAGTAATGGTTTCAGGGCCATAGCTATATTGAAAATATCTTATAGAATTCGTTAAAAATATTTTCAAAGTCACATCTGATGATCTATCAATAGATTCAACAGTTTGAAGAATATTGCTTCCACAGGAACTCAGCCCCAAAACATACTTTGAAGTAGAGTAATTCGTTTTATTGGTGAGTCCTCATTCACAATGATTTTGGGAGAAAAGTTTAAGATCTCTCCCAATAGTACAAATAATTTCATGGGTAGTGCTCTACATAGATTTCCTTCACCCTTTTATTACCAATTTATCCCAAAAAAACGACAAATAGAACTGAGAAAATTCATCATTTAGGTTCTTGAAGGGCAGACCAGCCGATTGTTCGTCCGACACTTCTTATACGTTACTCGTTCCTAGTAGAATGACTTAAAATATAATGAGGACTTTTAAAAAACAATCATATCTTACCAAATCCACATCGGCCTATTGGGATTGCCTTCAACTGAATGGGAGAAGGTTTTTTGAAGCCCGTTTCAGTTAAACCTTTCAGTACGTTTTCAGATAAAAAAAGAGATTCAAAAGTTACACTTTCCACAGTAATAACATCTCTCGTCCTGGAATTCTCATCCGAAGATTGTGCTAAAACTTGAGCCATTTTAATGGTAATTACTTGACAACAAAAAACTTTTTAAAGTGAAAAATTGTTAGAAATATATTTTAGGTTATATTTATACTTTTTCTCTTTCTTCAGTTTCGAATTACATTGCGACCTGAGCTGTTTGGACTATCCGGACAATAAGTAATACAGTACGCACTGGGACCCTATTAAGAGTTTTGCTTATACGTAGTNTGCATGTATGTTTGTAACTCTTCTTTTCATTTCATATTTATTCTGCTCGAGATCTGTATTTGACAGAAATATCGAGATTATTGCTTGATCTATTCGCGGTTAGATGGCGTAAAAATAGGTTTTTTTATAAATGACTTCTTATATAACATAACTTCTCAAAAGCAATTAAAGAAATAAAAATAAAGATAAAATTCAAATCTCATTTCGAAATTCTTCTTTCTCTTTTCATAACAAAATGTTTCAACCACTATAGTCTATTTGATTTTAAATATACTTTTTGTTTTTTATCTAATGTCTCTTACTAGTTTTCAGTTTCTGAATTTTTATTTTCCCTATATTAACATGTGTCTTAGAATTATATAAAAATAAATATTCACTTTGTTCTAAAATGTTTTGATATAAATCTGCCATCCGCCACAATGTGGCTAGAAAGCTAACTTTCTTTCTTTTGCTGGTCCTTTGTGTTCCGATACTTCTTCATTTCTTCTCGGTATATTTCTTGCTGTACCAAATTCCGAATGCCATACAACTGGGCCTCCCATTCATAATAAAACCATTCATTGAAGTTTTTAACATTACTGAAGTTTGCTGCACTTTTGGAAAGGTGTTCACTACATTCGTCGAAATACTTTCCATAATGTTCATACTTCACGAGATCCTGTCCAACCGATTTGGAAATACAGGTTGGTTCAACTTTACATTTCTTACTAGGGGGTTCTACTGGGACCCACTTCATGAGTTCAACATCACCACTTTCTTCGATTTCGGCTCTTTCTTCTTCTACGCGAAACTTTTCCATTATTATATTTTGCAGATGATCGACTGTTGTAGGATTTTCCAGCACTTTTTTCCATTCCGTTCCATTTGATTGAACTATACTTTTGAAACCAAATTCAAAAAATTTGCCATCACTGATTTCGATAGTTTCATCAGCACTCCGTTTTGACAAGCGAGACATATCTTCATTGAGCAAGTTTTGCTGATTTGAACTTTCAGCCATTCTCTTTCATTCGCCAATTTAAGTGATTATTACTATTGTTCACATTAACTAGTATCACCTCAAGTAATGATTATTCCTTTGGTCCAATTTGAATGGTTATTTAAATTGTCTACATCAACTAACAAATTCTAAATAATAAACATAAACAATAACAAACAAATTCTTAGATTCTTGGGTTAAGTTTTCATCTTCTTTTTTTTTTTTTCATATGTTCATGTTGTTAGCAGTGTTGCCAATGATGAATCGTCAAATTACTACAAGTGTGTGAAAGTACCCGATTTTTGCAAAGACCCAACATTTTCAAAAAGTAAGCGTTGTAAGATGGAAATGTATGTTAGAAACAATCAATGTGTTGCTTCAAGAATCAATCTTCTCTTTGATAAGTAAGAAATGTTCGATACCTAAGCTTTTACTTCTCAAAGCTCAATTTGGAAAAATTGTCCATTTCAATTTCAAAAACCACAAATGAGTAAATGAATAGTAAGATAGTTAAACTTGCCTATTGACACATTCCACAGCAGATTATTTTAAAAGAACTCAGATGTCGTGCACAATTAGTGTATGTCCATTCTTCAAAATATATAGTAATGGAGAAAGATAAAAAAAAACTGAATATGCACTGAACCTCTACTGCGAAAATAATTCGACATAAAATGTGCGAGTGACACTGTTAGCTACGCTGTTGGGGCTAATTCAAAATAGCGTATTATAGCGATGATCAGATTTGACAAGGGTTAAATAGAAACCGAGTTTCAAATTTAATTGTTGGCAGACATGATTTCTGTCATAACTCTCAATGTTATTATACAAAATAATGCCAAAATGTGTATTCTATCGTGAGTTCGATTACCCGGTAATTACCCAGAATAAAGTTAAAATTTTGTTAGGAAATTACCAGGAAGAACCTTTTACTGTAATTACCAGGTCATTTTCTGGAGAGGGTAGAGGACATATTATAAATAGTGTATGTTTCTATACAACTCTATACAAATTGAGTGAGATTTTGAATTATGCGCATGCATTTCGATCCGAGAAGGCTGCGCATATGCATACTCATTTAGAAATATTTCTTGGACATGTATATACATAGATATATACTGTAAGGGTTATATACGAACGCTGGGAACGTGTTCGATTATTGAAGTTTGGATTTCATCTCAAATGAAATGAAACAGGTATATTTCTTGGAGAGTAAGTGAAATTTTACCTTTTTCGTATACTATATTCTGTAACAATTTCGTCAATAATATCTGCTTCAACCCGATAACGAATGTTTGAAATGAAAACTGTACATAAAAAAACTGTTATCTGTATAATTCTTTGTTTATATGAAAGTAGTTATTTCGAAAGGGCTTCTTTTTCCAGTTTAGTCTGAAAGTTACTTTTTTGTATGATCTACACATCTTTGTTGAGAGTTTATTTCTATGTAAATTGCTTTCTTTGGGAGATTTCACATTTTTTGTATGAAAATGGAAAAGTGGTAAACCAAAAACTATTCCAAAAATTTCAAATGACTTACGTCGATGCCAACTGTCAAAGTCAAAAATGCCATTATCTCACAAGACTTCTAATAGAAATGAGTATCAATAATACATGTAACCTTCGTTGTTGTAGATTGAAACGGGTTACTTTGTTACTTAGGAACTAAATTATGGGCTGCCGGAACTCAGCGGAGAGGGATGGAGATATAAGTCCACTTGGAGGATAAGTGTATTGTTTCTTCAAACACGCCAAGCTTGTGTTGATTACAGGCTTATGGCCCAGAAGTATACTTTTGGGTTCACAGATATAAATGTAATCAAAATAAAAGGTATCTACTAAATATGCCATCTACCGTTTCAATTTTTCATTCTTCATTTCGGTACCAAACTACCAAATGCAAATTTTTCAAGTAAAATTCATCGATCATTTCAAAATCGACTCTTGGTAAGTTGTCGGGAGTTAGCTTTAACAAAACTAGGCTCAACATTCATTTTGAAATTATTTTAACAAAAATACGAAGTTTGTGGAAACCGTTGACATTAGAAAGATCCACAGACCATATACCCGAAAGATCAGATTGTCGCATTCACTACAGAGGGCGCTGGCTGACTGGATGACAATATGGCTAATATACCAGTAACGTTGAATTTTTTATTTTTGGTGGGTGGCATAATGCATAATTGATTTATTTTATTAGGGTTCATGAGCATACTATACTTGACCTCATTCAACCTTCCTCTCAAGTTTTGGTAGATTCAACAGATTACCCAAGCGAGCATATAACGTTTGAATTCAGTAGCTATATTAGAAAGAGGTAAGTATGTAGGAATAATTTCTTTTGTAATAAATTGCAGTTGTACAGATTGAGGATTGTAGAATAAATTGAATATTTAAAATGATTCTTCAATCCAGTTTACTATATTTTTTGATTTTCATAACTGCATATTATTAAATTATGCATATAATCATAGTTTAGTTGAATATTTTGTGATCTATCGACTTTGTGTACTGATTTTTAGATATAGAACTCATTTCCAAACATGATATTTCGTGTACATTTTACGTTAACGGGTTCATATACATTTCCATAATTAAATTGATAATTATAGGTTCCGTAAATTTTACGATTTGGCAATGTTGATTATTTCTATTGTTTCTATTGGTCAATCGAAGAAGCGGCAATAGGGTCGTGACGTCACCACCCTACCACATTCGATTTTTAATAATTAATTACGGGAAAACTACGGTATTTAGAGAGATGAAACAAAGTGATTGCTTCTTACGGATCTTGAGTTAACAGAAAGGCAAAGAATTTCACTAGTTCGGACTTCCATTGTCTACTATATAAAATGATCTGAAATCCCTGAAACAAGTAAAAAAGAATAATTAAAAAAGAATAGTTGAAAATAACAATTATATTAAGCAACAATAAATCTGAAATGAAATGATAGTGAAATAACCTACAAGTAAAAATATAATAATTGAATAAATAAAAATTAAAGGAGAATAGTTTATGTTTGTCCATACTACTAGTGCTGCCTCTCGTGACACGTTTGCTGTACTATTCTCAGGAAGAAGGCTCATTGCATATGCAGGAAATTTTCTGTGAAAGGTTCCCGCACTGACGCCTGTCGGATATAATCCAACACCGTTCGTGGTATTAGCCAGTGGAGTAGTTGTTTTCTGTGTAGGTTGAATGGACTGAAGTCCTGAAGACTGTGTAGGTTGAATATTGTATATTTCTTGAAATCATGAACTAATTGAGTTGAAATAATACTATAATTGGAAAATTATATAAAAACAATTACATTGATTTTTTACTTCTATTATCACATGTCTTTCATAGCTCTGTTGAAAACAAACTGATGCGTCCCCAACATGCAATTCTAATGACCTAAAAAAAATCACAAAGACCCGCTGATTCGATTCGTTTACTAGACTTTCCCGAGGTAAGACGGAAAACTCAGCAGAAATCAGCTTGAAGGGTCTCTATCCAGCGGAGATCATGTGGTCAGCCTCAACGGTTCCCTTACTTTTTACCTGCCATCGTGTTCTGATACCGACTCATTTCCGAAACGTATATATTCTGTTGGACAAAGTTCCGTATGGAATACAACTGTGCCTCCCACTCGTAGTGAAACCAGTCGTCGAAACTTGCGACATTATCGAAGTTCAACCCGTTCTGCCACAGCTGTTCACTACACTCATTGAAATACGCACTGAGGTGACTGTAGTTCTCGTAATCGCGTTCAACCGTTTGAGAGGTGCAGGTATACCCCGCCTCACGACTTTTACTAGTCGCTTCCACGGGAACCCATTTCATAACCTCAATTTCTTTCTCCTCCGTGCTCATCGCTTCGATTTCTCCATCCGTGTCGATCCCTTCGTTTTCCTCTGTTTGCTCCTGCGTATCAACTTCCGCTGCGACACTGTCTAGAAGTGTTTTCCAACTGTCATTGTCGGACTTAACGATACAGTCGTATCCGAGTTTAAACACGTCCTCCATTTTGAACGGAGCGTCTTCTAGTGGCAGGGAGGGGGTAGTACACTGTGGAAGTTTCTCAACATCTTGCAGAGTACCCAAAATGTCATTCAAGCTCAGTTTCGATAATTCAGACACCTTCTCTTTTTCCTGTTTCTTCAGCATGTCCAGGTACTCGGAAATCGGGGATTCCTCTGAAATAAATCCAGCTTCATCTTTTCCATCCAAGATTTTGGAAACGTTCAGCAGCGCCATGTTTTTTGTGAACACTGCCTTCCGTTTCTGATCGTCAGAATCCATACAAGAATCTTTCCTGCCGTCTTCATTCGCTGGTCTACTGTGGGATTCACCCGCGGTTTCAATATTTTTCTGGTTCAGAAGCGTGTGAAGAATGTTATTAATGGCAGCCCTATCGCTTGCAACAGCGGTTTCTGGTGCTGCATCAACTCCTGGAGGGGGCTGCCAAGTTGAACCGCACCCAGTTCTTTCTTCCATCTCAAACTGTTGAGACGCTAGAGACTCCAATATCGACTGAGCATCCATATTCGAAATTTGTTTCTGCACCTCCTCAACCTCATTCTTATTATCGTTCAGAATACTCAGTATCTGGGAATTATCAGCAGATTCAGCCTCCGAGCTCGTTTCTTTTTTCGATGCCGTTTTCCCGCTACCCGATTTAGATCTCTTTCCTGATTTCGATTTGCCGTTTCTTTTCGTTAAATCGTACACCCTACTCTTACTCCACAGCTCAGAATTCGAATTGTTGATGTTATCAGTCCTGGCGACGATGTGTTCCTCTGAAGATAAATCAGCCTTCAGTAAATCCGATACGTTACCGGAAAAGGTAGGAAGCTTAGGTATAGACAGTGTTGAGCCTCCGATCTGCCCGAGAATTCCCTGCAGGATGCTCAACTCGGCCACTCCTGACACCAAATTAATGCAAGCCCCAAACGACCCGTAACGACCCGCCCTTCCCATTCTGTGCAGATAAGTCGTCGCTTCCAAAGGAACGTCATAATTTATAACCAGATCTACATTTGCAGCGTCGATTCCTCTCGACATCAGATCCGTGGACAATAATATGCGGCATTCGAACTTCTTGAGGCTATTAACAGCCAACAACCGTTCGTTCTGAGTTTGCGCCGCCGATATGTAAGTGGAGTGCCACCCTTTCTGGTTCAGGAGATTACTTATGCTCTCTGCCCTCGACTGGTAATTGGAGAACACTATACACTGCGTGAAAGAGATACTGGAAAATATCTTTACCAGCTGTTCAGTTTTAACCCGCATCTGCTGAACCACATTTGTGTGAGAGTCGACGACAACAGCAAACTGCTTCAAGCCTAGAAGCAAAGGCGTCTCCAGCTCTGCCGTTACGTGTGTGGGTGAACACATGTACTCTTCTAGAAACTCTGCTAGTTCTTTAGAGTAAGTGGCACTGGTGGTTATGATTTGTTTTTTAGGGGGCGTACTGTTGTAAATTTCGTTGATGTCGTTTTGGAAACTAGACTCCATTAGTTTGTCGACCTCGTCGAGTACGAAGAGATGTACGGATTTGGTTATCATAACGCCTTCTTTGATTAAATGTTTCAGTCTTCCAGGGGTACCAACGGCAATGTGACAATTTTTACATTTCTCCTTGTCGTCTTGGAGCGGTAGGCCCCCAATGAAGGATTCTACCTTTAATCCTAGAAAAAAGAACAGTTTATTAGGAGAAAAAATGATTCCCTCCCCCCCCCGGTTTTCCTTTTTTCTACGGCCCTGTCTACATCAAGTTATTATAGTAAAACCAATAATGATTGAGAGTAAAGCACGTTGTCATATCTAAATTTTACGTTACCAGTTTATAGCAGAATCAAAATATAGTAAGCAGTAGAGTTGTAGGTTGTGGCAAATTATAGATAATACACAATACTAGTACGATTAAAAGGTATTATTTATGACAAAAATCAGTAATGAGCTTGTAATGAGTAATACTTATACATTTCCTGATTACTGATCAGTTAAAATTCATTATTTTCTGTATAGTGTTAGATATTTATTACAACTAGTGGCAACGCTGTACGCAACGATATTTCTGTCTTTGTCACTTTAC